AGCCCCCCTACAGTCTTGAGCAATGGAGGTATAGTCCTCCTTGGTTATGGCCCCTCCCTTCCATTGGGCCTCCTTTTTCGCTTTGAGACGTTCCTGGATGCTTTTTGTGAGCTATGAGGGCTTTTGAGCACTCTTGCCCTGTTTGATCCGCACTGGGATTGTCACCCTTTGGGCTTGGAGGATCATCTCCTTAAGGAATGACCACTCTTCCTGGACTCCCAACTCCCCTCCCCTCTGGGACCCTAGTGCCTCCCCAACTAGTTTCCTTAGCTCAATGAAATTCACCCTCCTGAAGTCTAGGGCTGTTGGCTTGCTCCAGGCCTTTGACACCTTGCACTGGATGGTGAATTCCAGCAGGCGATGATCACTATCGCCCAGGTGGTTGAGAACCCACTCACCAGGCTGTCGCCCATGGCCAGGACCATGTCCAACAAGGCATTTCCTCTGGTGGGACTGTGCAACTCCTGGGTTAGATGGAAGTCCTGTAACTTGGCTAGGAACCTATGTGAGCAGTCAGACCTGGCCGACTGCTCTTCCCAGCAGCTGTCTGGATAATTTAGGTCACCCATAATGACCACGTCCCTTGACTTAACTGCCTCCGTGAGCTGACCTGAGAATTCCTGGTCCAGCTCTTCCCCCTGGTTGGGTGGCCTGTAGTAATCTTTCCCACCAACCCCCTTGTATTTGGACCCAGAGCACTTCAGTCTGCCTCTCCTCTGACCCAGTGCTGCTCGTTGAGGATGTGTATTGCTCTTTGACATAGAGCGCCACACCCTCACCTTTCCTCCCTGTTCTATCCCTCCTGTACAGCCTATAGCCTTTGTTGTTTACTGCCCAGTCATGTGTTGAGTCCCACCAAGTTTCAGTGAGCCCCACTATGTCCGGGTTTGTGTTAGCTAGCAGGAGGGCAAGTTCCTTCTGCTTGTTCCCCATACTACAAGCATTAGTGTAGAGGCATTTAAGGCCTCCTGGAGGTGTATTTAAGGCCTCCTGGAGGTGCATTTAAGGCCTCTTGGAGCCTGGAAGTGCTGAAATAGTCTTTTAGGTGTTGTGACTCAAAGACAGCCCTGTGATAGAGAGTCCCCTGGTGCTGGGAATCCCACAACTCCCAGAGTCACTGCCCCATGTTTCCTATGTTAGTGCATTCTCCATGGCAGGGCTCCCCTGAAACCATAAATCCAGGAAGAAATGAACTCTCTCACTCTAAGACAGTACACACTGCAGGGCTGCAATGAAGCTAGGGACTCTGGGAGTCCTCCTTTTCTGCTATTTTGTGGTGGGTGGCAGCGACATTGACAAGAGTCATCTCAATTTCATTCAGTTGCCACTAGGCATCTTCAATAGGGTATTTTGTCTTGGAAGTCCCATTCTTCAGTGTTTCCAGAAGGAATGCTGTGGGATTTCAGTTCAGTGAAACAAAAATAGAATTTGTATTTATACCAATTGAGGATGAAGATCTTTTCCAAAGAATAATGATTCCAGAGATAAAATTCAGTTTTTCAACCAATTCCAGACTGAAGCAATTTTTTTTAGGCTCATAGGACTATTACGTCCAATTAGGATATTGTCACATGCACTGTCTCAGGAACTGCCACACAGAAAATGTGTTGTCTTAGCAGTAGGTTTCTCTGCCTGCAGGGGCCAGGCGGTAGACACAGGGATGTGCATTCCTCTTGCAATTCCATAGTAAGCACCACTCAAGTTTTAATGACATTGATTACATGCTGTTCCCCTTGAAACATTTTTTTAATCTAGGACTTTCAGAGGTGACAAACAGCACTGCAGCTGCACTGCTCAGAACTCCTTTTAATATTGGAGTAGACTCAGCTTTTCAGATCCCCTTCTTTCCCAGTACACATGTGAATAAAGTTCCCAATATTCAGCTGCATTAATTTTACAGCCTGAGATAGGCCAAAGGCTCACAGTATTGCAGATTACTTAAAATTCCTTGCTTAAAGTCTTTTGAATGGAGAAATATCAGCATCTATAAATAACAATCACTACCAACTGTCTTGATCAAAGATGAAGCAAGAATGAAGAAACCCATAAAAAAATGGAACATTACATAGTCTTTTCAAATGTGTATTGGTATATTTGCAAAATACTGGCATTTCAAGAAGGCAATCAAAATAAGATTATTTTCAAAAGTCATTTTACTGATTATGTCTAAATAATGACGTCTGGTTGGGTAGTTGGGTATTTGGAGGAAAAGGATGTAACAACTGTTTTTAAAATGACTAGTGTTTACACAATCAATAGTCCCATTGTGGGGTATTTCATTCAGGGCACATGGAAAGTAACAAAAATCTTATCTATTGGCTATTCTTCTACTTCTGATTATTATTATTAAAACTATCTTGTATTAGCCACGTACATATACCTATTAAATAAATGAGCTGTAGGGCCAAAATCAAATAGGAAGAGACACAATTCAAAACATGCATTATCTATTTTAACAGGATGGTCTCTAGTGCAAGCTTTAACTCCTGTGCTTATGGCTTTTTATTTTTAGCAACTGCTTTTTCATGCAAAATCAAGATGTATATTGGAAATGTTATTGGATACCTCAAAGGACCAATACGATTTTTTAACAGTGACATGTCTCTGGAGAGAGGGGGAAAGTCTGTTTTGAACATTGTTTTTCCCTTTTGGAATCTGGGCCTCATTTCAACCTCTCTCATTCTTCAAAGAAAGCTCAGTTTTTTTCCAATGTTTATTCCTGGTAGAAAATACTACGCTAGTCATTGCAGTAGTCTATTTGGCACTGGTTGTACAGAGTGCTACCATAATAAGCCTAGCTAGATCTTAGGTAGCATTTTGCAGCAGTAGATCTCAAAGCACTTCATATAAGAGACAGGGGCCATGTCTATACATGTGCTTTACTACAGAGTAGACTAATTAACTTCAGAGTAAAGTGTCACCGTCTACATGTATGATGATATTAGACTGTAGTAAAATAATTTATGCTGGCATAAGATGGTACTGTTGGGGACAGTACTATTTTACACCAGGGTAATTTACTGTGATTAATAAATGCATGTGTGGACACTGACCATGGGCATAAATTGCACATGGCCAGCCCAGCCAGCCAGGGCCCAGACTCCTGCTTGCTGCTTAGCCACATGGCTTCGCACTTTCAGCACTTTCGTGCCCCATCCAGCCCCTCTGCCACTTGCCGACACCACCTGGAGCCTGGGGCTGAACCCCCATTTCCCCCGCCAGCCTAGGTCTTTTCTGCCTTGGCTCAAATTGTTGCTATCCCAGGCACATGTGTAGATGCTGCACCTGAGAGTAGTTTACTCCATCTCAAACTGCTTTGGAGTTTATTACTTCACATTAATTGCATGTGTAGATGTACTCAGAGAGGAATGAAGTAAATTGCACAAGGCAACCCAGTAGACTAGTGATGGGACCAAAAATAATACTCAGGTCTCCTGAGTCCTAGTCCCATGCTCTAAACTTTTGCCTTCCCTAAATAGGAACCTTAGTTAGTTAATTTTCATTAACATTTTATTTAAAAGCTCATATAAAGCCATCATCAATGTGATACTAATTGCCAACACAAAGTCCACCTTGCATAAACTTTAATGAAGCAAATTCAATCATTTCCATTATTTAAATCCTTTGTTCATTTTGGGCCAATTTTGCATGCTCAAAGTCTGCCCAGAAATCACCTTGCAGAATATTTTTAGCAAAATCCCTTAGGCTGTTTTTAAACAAACAACCAAACAAACAAGTTATATTTTTGAACAAGGCAACAGCAAGCTAGTTGATATCCACAGCATCCCACCCATTTGAAGACATCCCTGAATATTCTCCCTTCCCAGGCTAACTAACTGCTGCTGCAACAATGTATATGAGACAGATGGACTCTAAATGTCTTCCTGAAACATGAACAAAGAAAATCATCTTCCACCAAAAGAATATAACTGCTGCTGGTTTAACATTAGGTGCAAGCAGAAAATACCATGGATAAGAAAAATAACACCTTTGTATCTCACCACAACTTTTCTTGCATTCCATTATATGCTGTTTATTCTGAGAATTTAGTTTAAAATATTAAGGCTCTGAATCTCTAGACAGCACACACCTATGGGTGCCTGTAGATGTGCAGGGTGGCTGCTCTGACACACTTTAATTAAAGTGCGTCATAGTGGACTCAATCAAGTCTGCTGGACTGTGCTACTTAGCATACCTCCAGTAGCCTCCATGTCTCATATATCAGCATCCCCATGCTTCAAAACACTGCTGGCATTGGCAGTCCACGTGGAGGCAGTGGGCCAACTGCCTAGACTCTCTTTGGAGGACAAAGGCCTTGTATTGTAAGCTCTTTGTAGAAAGGCCTGTCTTTACCATTTTGGTCTGATAAGAAGTCCATCCAAATTTTATTTTAAAGTTCAGTTTTAAGAAAAAACAGCTTTAACCTCAAACTTTAAGTCAATAATTACAGATAAAGTCCTTAAACTGCCTTTGTCTTTAACATAATCCTGCAGGAGAATCAAATAAGCAAAGCTTATCCCAAAGGTTTAGATGCATTAAAATACTAAATTAAGAATTTGGTATTTTTATTGCATGCACAAAAATACCTCAGGTACAAAAGTCACGGTCCTAATACCCAGTACCTGATTATAGGTTGACCCTGCGTACAAGCTGAGTACATTTTTTAGGGTTGTTTTGAGGGGAAGAAAAGTGAACTTATAATCAAAACAACATGGTATAATGCAATAGTTAGCACAGTAAGGCTCCAATCTTGCTTGAGGCCCGTATGATCTAATACTATTTATTAGAAACCTTGTAAAATACCTTTCATGAAACACAACAGGAGTCTATGGAAAATGCATTCAATCTCCACATGTTTTCACTATAAGTTTTAAAGGCAATATTGTTTTCAGTTTTGGCCAGCAAATAAGAGTTATTCAAATATAAATGGCATAGTGTTGCTGATTATTGACTTGTGGCCCATCCTCTTATTTTAACAGGGTTTTTTTTAATCTTTTAAGGCTTCCTTGAACAAGGCTTACTAGTTCGGGATGAAAAGAAGTTGAGAGAACGGTATACCTCAACTGTACAGTTCAAACTTGATATGCTCTCGCTTGTACCAACAGACCTGGCCTATTTCAAATTTGGTTTGAATTACCCTGAACTGAGGTTTAACCGCCTGCTGAGGTTTTCCAGGCTATTTGAGTTTTTTGACCGCACAGAAACCAGGACAAATTACCCAAATATATTTCGGATTGGAAATCTTGTCTTATACATTCTCATAATCATCCACTGGAATGCCTGTATATATTTTGCGATATCAAAGATGATTGGGTTTGGAACCGACTCCTGGGTCTACCCCAATGTATCCCATCCAGAGTATGGCCGTCTATCCAGAAAGTACATTTACAGTTTGTATTGGTCAACACTGACACTGACAACCATTGGAGAGACCCCACCTCCAGTGAAGGATGAAGAATTTTTGTTTGTGGTCATTGACTTCTTGGTGGGTGTGCTCATCTTTGCTACCATTGTTGGTAATGTAGGCTCTATGATTTCCAATATGAATGCTTCCAGGGCAGAGTTCCAGGCCAAAATTGATTCCATAAAACAGTATATGCATTTTCGCAAAGTGAGCAAGGATTTAGAGGCCAGAGTGATTAAGTGGTTTGATTACCTCTGGACCAACAAGAAAACAGTGGATGAGAAGGAGGTTCTTAAAAACCTGCCTGACAAGCTGAAGGCTGAAATTGCCATCAACGTCCATTTGGACACACTCAAGAAAGTGCGTATATTCCAAGATTGCGAAGCTGGTCTTCTGGTTGAGCTAGTGCTGAAGCTGAGACCCACAGTCTTTAGTCCTGGAGACTATATTTGCAAAAAGGGAGACATTGGGAGAGAAATGTACATCATTAAAGAAGGGAAGTTGGCTGTAGTGGCAGATGATGGTGTAACACAGTTTGTGGTCCTAAGTGATGGTAGCTACTTTGGAGAAATTAGCATCCTAAATATCAAAGGTAGCAAATCTGGTAACAGGAGGACAGCCAACATCAGGAGCATTGGCTATTCAGATCTGTTTTGTTTGTCTAAAGATGATCTGATGGAAGCCCTCACTGAATATCCCGATGCCAAAAAGGCATTAGAAGAAAAAGGACGGCAAATTCTGATGAAGGACAATTTAATAGATGAGGAAGCAGCAAAAGCAGGAGCTGACCCTAAAGATTTGGAAGAAAAGGTGGAAAGACTTGAAACTGCTCTAGATAATCTACAGACGAGGTTTGCTAGGCTCCTGGCAGAATACAACTCGAGCCAACAGAAAGTCAAACAGAGACTCAATGAAGTAGAGAGCACTGTGAAGAAATATGGAACTAGTCCTTTATGTGATGCAGAAGGGGAAGCCGCAAAGTCAGAAGAGGAGCAAAATAAATAAGTTTGTTTGTATTTCTTCTGTTAATATAGAATATTGCAACACGTAAAAGCCATAAACATATATAACTGTGTGTGCGTGCATGTGAGAACACACACAATTATTTTTATACGAACACCAAAATATTTTTTTTTTTTTAGAGTTTTTAACTAAAGTTATATTTTAATGTAAATAGAAAGTTGTTATTTTTCCATTGTTTTTTAGAAGGTGGCTTTGTATTGTCACTTGGGTATACTTTTGTACTTCTCACAGGTTTCTTACAAGTCATACTTAGACTGTCTTGACTGTGCTGTCTGCAGGTCTTGAAACGTTTAATTTTGTTCCTCTCTTCCCACACAGTTTCTGTAAAGTGGGAATTATATGTAAAATCATAGTGGATGTGACCAAAAGAGGAGAAAGTCATGTATTGGTACCTAACTTTTCTGTTTGCACATCCAATAGCATATGGTAGGAACTTACTATGTAAATGTAATGAGTCCAGACTACCCAAAATCTATATTCTTTCACAGCAACGCACTCTGTCCATGTTAAGAAACTTGGCTAACAACAAGAAAGTAGAAGGCAGGGTAGATTTGCACCTTATAGACTAAGTAAAGGAGAGAGAGAGAGCACACACGCACAAGCTTTTGTGAGCTTTCACAGTATCCAGCTTGCCAACCCTAATATAGACATTATTGACAATATTTACACACACACACACGTATATACACACAAACAAACTTTGGTTAGTCTATAACGTGCAAATCCACCCTGCCTTATACTTAACCTGTCAGAGTTAACTACATTTCTAATAATGGGAAAGACCTACCTGGTATATACAGCCTGTTACATTGTGTATGAAATGTTCACATACTTAGATGGTACAGACAAACTATTTCCTACTACACTGGACATTGGTAAGTCCGATAACACAGCCATAGGTGTTTGATGGGTTCTCAGCTCAGTCCTGCAGCTGCTTCACTGTTTGGCTATGTTTGTGAGGCTGCATTAATTCTTTCCAGTCCCTTCCATGCTGAAAATACCCCTACTGAAAAAGAACCTGGGAGGGCCACCACTGGTTGAGGGAATCCCAGCAATATGACTATTAAAACTGAGCAGAGACCCCAAGGGCCTCCATGCATGGGCCCCTAACCTGCTAGCCAGCCTTTAGGATCACTGCTAGTTCTGATGGTAGAAATATTTTTGTTTATTTTGCCTGGGGCCATCCCGATGAAATCATTTGGGGCATGTTCTGGAAGGGGATCCTCACAGGCTTTATTTTCTCTCAGATCCTCACCTGCAGGGAATTCTGGAGTGCAAAGTGATCCAGGGCCCTGCAAGGAGGTCTTTCCTGATAGTCATCCTAATTTTCCATTGGCTTGGTTTCAGTTTATTATTACTACTCATTACTCTCATGTGCCAGCCCACACAATTCCTCTTTTAGCGCCTTCAAATATTCAAAGATTATTATCGTGTCTCTGCTTATGCTTTCCTTAGACAAAACCAAGAAAAGAATATTATTAACTTCTCAACAAGTCAACTCCTGTAGGTCTCAAATAGTCTTACTAGCTCTCAACACATGCTGTAGATGCTCAGTAGTTTTCTGGCAATAGCTAGCCTTGAATCCAATACAACACCCCAGATGCAATCATCACCAGCATCACATTCAGGGCAAAAAATATATTGAGTATTTTTACTGCCACATCACACTGTGACCTCTTGTCTAGCATCTTATGCCATAATCTTATTCGCCTGCTCTGAGCCTTATTACCTTACCTGTTTTTGGGTGTTTGTCTTTCCTATTGGGTATGTTTTTTGATTCCCCAGGTAACAGGCTAAGCCTGGTTACTGAGAGTAGAGCTAGGTAGTAGAGTTAAAGCTGCAGAGCCCCAGATAATGGCAACTAATTAGCAAGTATCCTTTTTTTGTCTGATTAAAATTTTTTTTCCCAATTTTGGAATTTAAAAAAGTAACCCAAAAGCCACATTTTTCGGTTATCAAAATGAAACACCACTATATCTATAGTGGTGTGTTTTATAGATAGATAGATATCTATGAATATATATATGTATCTATGAATATATCTAGCTATCTATATCTCTATCTATATATAGATAGAGATATAGATACCTATATCTATATATTATCTATATATAGGGGTGTTTCATTTTGATCACGGAAAAGTTTGGATTTTGGGTTACTTGTTTATTCTGAAAATTGGGGATTTTTTTGTAATCAGAGAAAACCAGGCTCCCTGCTAATTAGGTAATGGTCTGCTGCAGCACCCTCTGCTCAGAAGGAGGGAGAGCCAGGAGCTATATAACCCCACATCCATGGCAGAGGGAAATCTGATCTGGGAAGAGCAGGAG